CTGAGAGACTCTTCCCATCCTGCTTATAACTTTTTTGAACTGTTACCATCTGGCAGAAGATATAGAACAATTAAGACTCGGACCACACGTTTTCTCAATAGTTTTTATCCCAGAGCTATAATTGCAATTAATAATGAGCTTAAAGACCATCAGTAGTGAATAATTACTTGGACTGTGTTACTTGGCCTGCGGTGTAGATGTTTGTATTTTTAGTGGGGGACTTTTAGTGGGTGGGGAGTGTTTGGGGAATTTTATGTGTGTGCATGTGTCTGGTCTCTGGGTGTCTGTGAATTTTGTTGTATGTGTATATACTTATACTTATACTTATATTTATACGTATACTTATTATTATTGTTGTTGTTGTTGTTGTTGTTGTTGTTGTTATTAAATCCTAGTTTGCATGGCAAGCACATATCATAACTTGCAGCATCCCTGTAATTATATTTCAAACTAAGGAGGGAGACACAAACCATACTAATCTTTATTATTTATTTATTTGAAATATTTCTATGCCACCTTTTTCCCCAAGGCAGTTCACATCACTAAAATAGTATTTAAAAGCTAAAACAGTAAGTACATAAATATTTAAAAAGAATTAAACAAGTACTATATTAAAAATAAAATGGTAACTAAGATCCATATTAAAGCACATTTAAAACAATAGAGCACAACAGTCCATATAAAACCCCTCTCAGACCACTAGTCGTTAAGGAAAAACCTGCCTGAAGAGAAAGGTCTTTGCCTGCCTGTGGAAGGACAGCAAAGATGGGGCCAACCTAGCTTCCTGTGGGAGGGAGTTCCAGAGTCTGGGAACAGCAACAGAGAAGGCCCTCTCCCGTCTCCCCACCAAACGCACCTGTGAGGGTGTTGGAACTGAGAGAAAGGCCTCCCCTGATGATCTTAATGCCCGGGCATTTGTAGGTTAAAACCTTTGGTCTGACATTGCATCTAATCAGACCTCAGAGTTTGAAAGCTAGATCAGTGGTTCTTAACCTTTGTTACTCAGATGTTTTTGAACTGCAACTCTCAGAACCCCCAGCCAGCACAGTTGGTGGTGAAGGCTTCTGGGAGTTGCAGTCCAAAACTCCTGAGTAACCCAAGGTTAAGAAGCAGTGAGCTAGATGGTAGTTGTTCCCAAAGAATATTTTCCTTTATTGTTATTTTGTAATGAAAATGTAGTTACCTTTTATATAAAATGTGCCCTACTGTTTTTCTAGCAACAGTTTAAGACATCAAATGGCTACATTAAAAATGGCTGAAATCCAGCAGTAAATCAAAAGTAGAGTAGGACCATTAGAACACATGGAAGAGTTTACTCGTTAAATCCCCAATAATTGAATGGTCTGACTGTAGTTATGACGTACTACTGAATTTCAGCCTCTAAATATTCATTAAACATTTCTTATTTCCCTAAGTTTGAAAGTAAAATTTCAATGGCTATTTTTTAAAAAGTAATCAAACTCTTGTTATCATACAGGAACGACCCAGCCAGGCACTTCCTTTTTTATTTTGGGATTTCAATTTTACTTTGCAAGAAAAAGGGCCAGGTTTTAAGTCCATCACTCAGATGAGTGACTTCCCTGTTAAATGTCTGTTTTCAAGTCTTTATCAAAAACACAATGTACATAGTTATCACATCTAGAAACAACATAAAAAGCTGCCTTAGACTGCGACAGATCATTGGATCATCTGGTGCAGGGTTGTCAGTTATGACTGGCAGAGGCTCTCCAGGCAGAATTCTTTCTGAGCCTACTAAGAGATCCCTGGTGATCTCCCATGCAAATATTACATGGGCTCAATCCTACTTAGGGCCTGTTCTCACTGCCAGAATAAACCAGCAAAACGATAGCATTATTTGGCTTTGTGCTTAAGTCACGTGGCTTGAATCCAAAACCTCTGTGGTGGTGTGTGCGTCCTCACCCTGCCACCACCAACACTACTGCCAACACCTTCATCTCCTGTAAGGTGCGTCCAACGGGGGGGGGGAGCATGGAAAAGGAGGGGGAGGACAAGTGGGAAAGGCACAAGGTTTTTTTCCTGGCAAACCTGGTACATACACGCACACACAAATGCACATGCACACACAGAGAGGAGAGAGGCAGATTTAGAGTTACAGTGAGGGAGGCACAAGAGTGGTCTCTACCCCCCTCAGATGCAGGAAACCCAAACTTTCCATCTAGATAGCAAGCCAGTGGGGGAGGAGATGGAACCACCCTTCCCTTCGACCTCCCAATTCCTGGAGAAACTCTCTTTTTATATGTAGGATCACCCCAAACCAGTGAAACATGGGTCTCAGGCATGGATCTCCATGAATTTTATATGCAAGATTACTTCAAAACACAAAAGCATGGGTCCCATGGATGGGTCCCCATGGATTCATATGAATTTTATACGTAGAATTGCCACAAACCACAAAACATGGGTCTCAGACATGCCTTGGATTGCTAGTCTGTGGGAACAAATGGGATCTATGATTTGATGATATTTTGGTGAGGATCCCATATAAGAATCACATGAAATCATGAAAGGGGTGGAAATAAAAAGAACTGGAAAGAAAAAGAGGGGGTGGAAAGGGGAAGAAGGATAAGAGATAAGGGTGGTGGCAGGTAACTGAGGGGGACAGAAAATAGTAAGGATTTGGAGGGGGTGTGAAGGGAAGAGGTTGGTTGAGGGATGGGGAGGAAGATGGCAGGCTGAAAGAGGAGGGAAGGCAAGCTTAGGTTTGCTGACTGGTGGCTATAAAAAAACCCCATAGAAATTCAGAGCAGGAGCATTCACAGATGCAGAAGTGATTCATTGGAATCTGCCTCAAAATAAACAGACAGAGGAGCAGAAAAACCTGCTCTCC